TACCCCTCCTGCCCCCCCTGACCCCAAATCTGAGCCTATCATACACTGGAACCCCCCTCCTGAGCCTCTTGCATCCCCACATCCTCAGTCTTCTGCCACAACATTCCTCCACCATCCACACATCACAAATCTGTGTCCTGAGCCCATCACTCACAACCTTCTTTCCCTGAGCCCCTCACATATCCAGCCCAAATTCCTGCACCCTCACATCCACAAGCCCTGGCTTGCTCAGCACCCCAACCTTCCACCTGAACCCAACACTTGCCAGCCTAGAGCCCCCTCCCTGAGTCAACAGCCCCTTCTCCTGCAGCCAAATTCCCTCCCAGAGTTTGTACTTCTCACCCCTTCCCACACCCAAATCCCTCATTCCCACACCTCACTCTCACTAGGTTGAGACAGGTATAAGGGTTGGGGATAGCAAGTGACGGAGAAGAAGGGAACAGAGTGAATAAGGCCTCACAGAAGGGAGATGGGGGAAGGAATGTGATTTTCATGAATTGGTGGGTCCCTCTCTCCTCCCCTGCCCCCCAATTTTATTTATTTATTTTGCTTGACAAGCCTAGGGGTTCCTTGAAATTCTGAAAAGCTAAAAAATTGGGAAACACTGCACTAGGGGAAGAAAGAGTCCTGCCTGCCAGTTCTATAATCTCCATCACCTCTGTATGTAGAGCGACACTCCTTGTTCTCCTCTAGTTGTTGATGTACACCACAGTGGTTGCATTGTTCAACTGGGCCAAAACATGCTTAGCCTCTGGAACTTTCTGTATGGCAAGCTTGACAACTCTGACAGGCTGATGTGGGATGCCAAAGCTACCTGTGTCCCAGGGAGCTTGGGCCTCCTGTAGACAGGAGTTGCTGCCTCTGATACAGTGGCAGGGGCTCTCCAGGAGTGGGCTGGGAGCCAGGTACACACTACCTGCTCGCCCCACCCTTGGGGACCATTTTAGTAACCATGTAACTGTTAAATTGTTGCAACTACACAATTACTAAACAATCCCCAATGTAAAGTTACTTCCTTTAAAATATCAGAAAATATTTTCAAATATTCAGCATATAGTATTATACAGGGCTGTCAAAACTGGTATGTTTTAAAAATTAAATATTCCTTAATGCTGCTGTATTTCTACTTCAAGCACTATTTACTGGTATATTGCTGGAATAATGCTAATACCAATGAAGCCTGGAAAAGGAAGCTCAACAATTCTCTCACTTGTGCCACAGGTGGCTCTAGTGAACACTATGGCAAACAGCTTATACGTAGGCTTACTGTAGAACTAAAGGTCTTCACAGTTGTCCCCCACAGTGACATTTTGTAATCAAGTGTAGTAGTGGATATTAGTAGTTTTGCCTCATTTAATCACTAAACTTGGGGGTAAATGAGCCAAAGTTACAGAAGAGAGTGTTAGCCCATGATCTCTCTAGTCAAACCAAGGTAAGTTCTGAGGGGACAAAGACCCTCCATTGGCCACTAAAGTACAATCTCCTTATTTGTTATATTTCGTAGGTTGACAAAGCAGGTTGGACACTGGAACAAGTTGACTTGTTTGAAATTAATGAAGCATTTGCATCACTAGCTGTAGCAATAACTAAAGAACTGAAATTGAATCCAGAGAAGGTACGTAATAGGAGAAAACTTAAATTTCAGCAGTTCTTTATAAAACAATGGTTTGGGTTAATTCACTCCTGAGAGAGGGAAACATTTAATTTTTTCCTAATTATATCATATGCTGTCCAAACTAAGCTGCATGTGCAGCCCCAATATAGCTTTGCTTCTATCCACAAGTGGTTGAAATCACAGAAGTTAGGCTGAGGTTACACTGTAAGGGAATTGTCTTATTTCACTGACAGGCTAACTGGCTGTGTTCAGGAATCTGATTCTCTAGTACAGAGGCTGACAACCTTTCCAGACTAGTGTCCCCTTTCAAAAATCTAATCTCTCACAGCCCCGTTTCACCCCTGCTTACACAGACATATAGAAGTGCCAATACTTAACTGAAAAATTACTTCATCATATAATCAATTGGAATATACATTACTTCTACCCCCGCGCCCTCCCCCCCCTTACTGCCTCTATCAGAGGCAGGGGGTGGAGGGAGAGAAGAGTGCAGGGAGCAGGAGCTAGCTTAAGTTGGTTTCCCCCAATAGTCTCGAGGGGAGGACGGAGGCACAGTGGGGGACTGGGCACAGCTTTTACTACATTTAAGAGGCAGTGCCAGAGGGAGCCCTGTAGTTCCCCTTATTGACTAATTGATGGAAATTCCAACTAAGTGAACTGATTAAATGTACTCTAACATCCTTTATATCAGGAGTGTCCAAACTTTTTTCAAAGAGGGCCAGATTTGAAGTGAACATGCGTGAGGGCCGACCATTTTGCCTGACATTCTTTGAACCATTAAAATTAAATGCAAATTAACTATTTTATGCAAAGTTTATTGCAAACGGCATACTTTTCATTTTGTCACATGGATGACAAATCTAAACAGGTGTTAAATCACTCTGCCTTTCATATCTGAAGACCAGATGGAAAAAAAATCCAGGAAGCTGAAATATGTCAGGAACATTGTAAAGTACATTACATATTATTGGTAATAAAGGTTGTCTGTCAATTTTAAGTTCAAAAAATATGAACAGGAACATAACACCAAGTATATATGTTGTGTCCAAATATATTTATAACTGATTTAGACCAACTGACATTAACTGAGATTTTACAATGTATTCATCTCAATACATATGGATTCGTTGGGGGCCATAAAAGATAGATATTGCCAAATTACCTGGGGGGCCGTATTAAACCGGAACGCGGGCCGCAATTGGCCCGCGGGCCGGACTTTGGACATGCCTGCTTTATATACTTATTGTACTCATCACTGTATAGCATACAGAGCAATATAAACACATCATACGAAACTTTAATTTGTACAGACTAGATTCAGAAGCCAGTGTTTATGTAGCTTGTTACAAAACTAAGCAAGTATCTAAAGGAATATATATACCCTCTGGAAGATCCCTTTGTACAAAAGGCATATTTACCCACTGTTAACTACATGCAGTTTTTAAACTTAATTTGCACTTTATTCTGCAGGAGTGGGGACTGAAGTTTAAGACCTGATGCCTGTTGTGGAGGGGGCAAATGGGGAAGGAAACTGAGAACCTCACCTACTTTGCCTATTTCTTACTAATTATCTATATAACAAGGCTGATTTTATTTTTCAGGTTAACATCGAAGGTGGAGCTGTTGCTCTTGGTCACCCTCTGGGTGCCTCTGGTGGTCGTATTCTTGTTACGCTTCTGTACGCACTAGAACGAACAGCTGGAAAACGTGGTGTTGCTGCTCTTTGTATAGGAGGGGGAATGGGAATAGCTATGTGCATTGAAAGATGAACATAGTTCAGTCCCCTCCCTGCCTATGTGCACCAAGTTAAAGCTTTCAGCTTGCTAATAAAGCTATGCTATTTAGACAAGATTGAAGTTAGTCATTGAAATAATTCACTAGAGCCTCTTCCCTGCTAAAAATTGAACTTAGAATCTTAAACTCTACCTCTCTGCCCTGGGCTTAATGTACTGAAACAAAGGACAAATCCTGACAGCAAGTTCTCTTGTATCTATACCCAGTTTATTAACATACACGAAGTACAATAACTGGAAAGAAGTGTAAAGTGAACAATTAACAGTAACATAAATAAGTCAGACTAATTCTCAAGTGCTCCAGATCGAACAGCGTCTTCATAACACCCGCCTCTATCATCTTTGCTTTCAGGATGCAACTTAATAAGATCATCAATTCGAAGAATAGTAATGGCAGCTTCTGTGGCAAATTTCAAGCTCTTTATTTTGACTATAGTAGGCTCAAACACACCAGCTTGTTTGTTATCACGAGGTTTCCCATTGATTAAATCAAGACCAATCCTGAAAGTAAGAAAGGGATTAAATAAATAGTGTGTATTGTACAGCACCTAGCAACTATGGTAATATGATTTGCTTAAAGTTGAAGCATAAACTTCTTAAGATTACCGCTTTGCTCTAGGAAACATCCCTAACCATACTTCTACTTCCTCTAGGAGTTGGTTATAATTTGGGGGGGTGCCCCCAGAATTTGATAAGTGGTCAAGAGTTGCATTCTGCTGATGGCAGTTCAAGATAGGAGACTGGGATACAGGAGTTTTGGTGAAAGAGGGGATTGTGACTTAGGATGGGGGTGAAGGACAGGATTCTGACCTGGAAGAGAGGTGCAGGAGGTTTGGTTTGTGACCAGGGCAGGGTGGTCACACCCTACATGCTGCTCAAAGCAGGGGCTATGAACTCTCTGCAGGCCCCTGGAAGCTGTGAGATTGTGCAAATGGCCCCCACATCTGGCCACTTTGAGCATCCTACAAGAATGTAGCAAACAGGGAGCCTGCCTGAGGCTCCTGCTGGGCCATAGGATGGTTGCAAGACCCAGGGCCTTGGGAAGACTGTATTTTACCTACCAGTGCTCTTATTTCTAAATAAAGATCACCTAGATTTCTCTGCCTTTCCATTCTGATAAGTAACTTTACATTATGTATATTGTAATAGGACTTTCACACAAGCAGTCAATAAGAACTAATGCATTTAAAAAAGCTCCTAAACAGCACTTTCATTTGTTAATTTTGTAGATAGATACTTGCCATTTCAGATTTTTGCGTTCTGGGTTAACTTGAGCTTCATTGTGAAATGCTCTCAACTTTGCAACAAGATCTATGGCATCCTGGGCAGCATTTACTGCTAAGGTATTTGGAATAATTAAGAGAGACCTTGCAAATTCTGCAATAGCAAGTTGTTCACGTGATCCCTAAAGGAGAAAGAAGAGTGATTTATTCTGAAACCCATTAAACCCCATTCATCCTAGGGAAAAGGGAAAAAATGCAGCCATTAACTTTAGAGCACCACATCTAGGCAGTCAAGAACACAGCTCAGCAAGATGCTTGCACATTGTATTGAACACATACAAACAGTGGGAGGCAGGAGGGGGGGATAGATGCAGGGAGAGGAAGAATTGTTCTAGGCCTATTAAGTTATGTTTTGAAAAATGAAGTTAATATTTTGATATAATTGTTCAAGATCTGGCAAAACCAAGTTTAAAGCACTTAAAAGCTAAATTCATGCCCCCCAACAAAAAGTTTTCGTGTGTGTGTGTGTGTGTGTGTGTGTGTACACACGTACACATAGCACTTACCATGCTAGTAGCATAATTTTCAAGATATATTGAAAGTGCTGCTTCTACTGCACCACCACCTGGTACCACTGACTTGGACTCCAATACTCTTTTAACTACACACAGAGCATCATGTAAGGATCTCTCCATTTCATCACACATGAAATCATTGGCTCCTCGTAAAATTATTGATGCAGAAGTACGAGCCTTGGTACTGTCCAAAAAAAAAGAAAAATGCATTTAACCCATGCTTTACTATTCACGCAGTTCGTAAAATATCCAAGCTTTTTCTTTCTGATCTCATGATTACAGCTGAATTCCTCTAACACTTAGTATGTTTAGGAGTAAGATCCTACATTGAGTGCCTGTAACTACCATCAGTACAGTAATAGGAATTCATGCAGTTGCAGAAAGTGACATGGTTAGAGGTACCTACTCAACACCCAGGAGAATGTCTGTGTCATGAAACAGATAGGGGGAGGGGAAAATCACACCAGAAACCATGGGAAAATGGTTAAATGTGCAGGCATATTTCATGAGGAGGCAGATAAAGGCAAACAAGTATCTGTTCATATCATCATGGCATACCAAAAATCAGATTAAAGAATCAATTGAGTTATGAATTGATATGATAATGTACAATATTAAACTTTTTCCCTTAAATGGGCTGATATCTGCACCAAGTTACACAAAACTAGTGTCAATAAATTGAACTTTAGTATGCAGCATTTTCAAATCTATATAGTGTCACAGAAGATGCAATAACCACCCCTCTTTCACTATAATCATTATTAAAGTAAGGATGTTAAAAGGTGGGTAACTGACTAATCATGAAATCAATACAATTTATATCAACTACATGATTAGTCAAAAAGGGAAGGTGCTCTGTACCGGCTCACACTGGTTCAGGAGCTACCCCCACTGCAGCTTAATTGTAGTAGGAGCCAGGCATGCAGGCAGCCCGATCTCTACTGCATTTAAACTGCAGAGCTGCAACAGAGGTATGCCCCCAATCAGCACAAGCCGGATCTGCTGCGGCTCTGCATTTTAAATGTAGTAACAGCCAAATGCAGAGTTGCAGTGGTCCTGGACTGGTGCAAGCAAGGACTGAATCAGGTTTGCTTAGTCCTACCTTGCACCAGGTCCAGCCGCCCCTGCCCATAGCCAGCCCAAGCCACCATGAACAGGTGCTGCTGCCAGAGCAGCCTCCCCTACCCAATCCCCCAGTGGAAATGGTGCTGGGGGAACTCAACTACTGGCTTACATCCCCACAATAAAGCTGATCATAGTACAGTTACTGTTCTGACTGGATTTCTTTCTACACTTTAGAGGCTCAGAAGTGCTGAAAAAAGTAATTGTTATTTATAGGTAAGCTATTTTAAAAAAAGTCTTAAATCAGCTATACAATTGGCCAGGCTGACAGAATAACTGGTATGATTGAGAGAGATGTCCAGCCCTAGCAATAAACAGTGAAACATCAGTTGTTTCACCACAAACTTACAATGGCCTCATACTCTATCCCACGCGTATAACTGCTCATAGCACTGAGGCTGCATGGCAGTAAATAAATGGGAAGTTACAACTAAAGATTTAGCAAAACATGTTTCCCAGGTGTGATGTACTCTAGAAAGTGTCCTTACTTCTTGATTAAAATCAGTTCATCATCACAAATTCTCTCCTGAACCACCTCTTCCGCTTGTCCCAGCAATGTTGCCTCAAAGCTTTCTTCACCTTCCAGATTAGCCAGAGTCGAACAAATGGTGGCTTTTAAAAACAAACAACTGAGAAGTTAGTGTGGACGTTATCAATTCTTAGAGGCTGATAAATAACAAGTTACTTTATAGTCATCATATTAATAGTTCTCACACTTTTGCTAAAAACAAGTTACATACTGTTCCTGCAAGATTATAACAAGACTTTCTTGAACTCTTTTAGATGGATTTTATAAAATGTATTTTGGGATTGAATAATTTTATAGTATAGATAACCAGGAGTTCAGACTTCATTCCACAGCAACTCCCTTCTAACAACAAAAATTATTACACAACCCCAGGAAAGTGGGAGGGGAGTAAAGAAGCCCTAGCCATGCTGCCCTGGGTTGCAGTGGGCAAAGCTGATGCTCAAAAGCTTCCACCCCATGTGGGAGGCCTGTAAAATAAGCCTAGTCATGCAAGGCCACAGCCCTTGGGCTTTGGCTTCAGCCCTGAATGGTAGAACTTGAGCATTGGCCCCAGAATCCAGCAAGTCTAACACCAGCCCTGGAGACCTTGTTGAAATAGGATCCCAACCCATAGTTTGAGAACCATTTCTACAGAGAATTTTTAAAAAATTCACAAACACTAAAGAAAGTTGGAAATTAGATTAACCCAACTTCTATAGTCCCAATTTTATGAAAGTCTGGTTAACAGGCTCCTAAGATACAGTCTGGTTGTGTTCCCCAACATAACAGAGCCTTTTTAATGTCAGTCAACACCTCTCCTAACTGCACCCAAACACCTTAAGCAGTTATAATTTTTCAGCAATTCCTCTTTATCTAATAATTTGTTCTAAATAATGTAACTGGCTTGCACTTCATAATTCAATACAGTTAGAGTTCAATACAGTTAATGAGATACTCCTTGTCTGAGTGTTGCAGTGAATGTTTTATATTCCAAGGATACTTCCTCATCTCTATGTATGCAGACCAGACCAATATATTCAGGGAACTGATTGCCAATAGCAGCTTTGGAAGCACTGTATTTTACCTACACTACAGCCAAAAATCACAATATGGACATACCTCCTGATGCTTTAGCAATGCGTTTAAGGTCCTTTTTTAAAACTCTGCGTACTGCCATAGCACCAGCATCCACAAAATATTTTAGACACATATCATCAATGCCACCAGTGGTTAGAATAACATTGGCACCCGTGGCCAAAATCTTCTGAATCCTCTCTTTAGTGATATCTGACTCTCTGCAAAAGTTAAGGAACACTTATTTACTTACAATCAAAAGTTATAACATTGGGGGTTAAAATCCTCCACTGTGAATGGCTAAACCATATACAAGCATCTGAATAATCAGTAGTATTGCAAACATAAAATTGCTGGGGAGAAAAGGAACCATTTATCACATGAATGTGTCAGGACAGATGAAAATTGGTAATTTTTAAAAATAAAAATACTTAATTTTTAAACATCTCACATTTTAATGGTGACCAACCAATAAGAATCAATCCTCCTTTAGGAAAATAAGTAAAAATATAAAACAATGCAAATCAATTATTTAAATCAAAGTTTCCTGCTTGCAGATAAAAATCAATCTAATAATTTGTTCTAAATAATGTAATTGGTTTGCTCTTCATAATTCAATACAGTTAGAGTTCAACTGAATACAAATTATCCAAATACATTTTATATGAAGATGTGTTTACTGCTGTAATTATTGTCTATTATACTTTTCAGAGCTCAGCAGAACACCCATAAACCCAGTAATTAATTAAAAATACCAAAATTAGTTTGAAAACCTGTTCATTTGTTTTATAAACCAGCATACCTCTGTCTAATCTGGTCCAGTTTCTCTGGATCTGTGATCACCACCTGAACACCAAGCTTCATTTTTGTTTTCTGCAGACTGAAGTCAAGACAGGCAATCTTTGCATTAACTATCCTTTTGGTCATACCTATATAAATAAAGTATTTTTGTCAGTATTGTTACAACTAAGCTTTTTAATTAAAAGTGCTAAAAATGAAAATAGTTGTGGTGTATTATTTTACTTTTTACATTTCTAACACACAATTAACCATCTGATACTACTTTTCCTGCAGCTCTTCACAAACACTAGAACCTTTCTTTCTTCATTTGCCTCTTCACATAAAGGTACAAAGTACCTTTCCAAGGTGTTTGTATGTTTCCTTGCTTGTCAATTTGTTGTATTGTTAAGATACTGGTTCAGGATGTATTAGCACCTGAGCTAACAAAACTAATTCTTTGATTTGACATCCAGCATAATTACTATGTTGGTCTACGAAGAACTCTGGTCTTCAGCAGGGACCTATTACTCTCCCAATAAGGGATAATAAAAACCATGTTAATTTCAACAGAGCTGAACATGCCAAAATATGGTAACCTAATTCTAGTGACAGTAGCCAATTTCCTTGCTTATAACACAGGTCTCAAAGGCAGACAGAATCAACCAACTATCCTCAAGCAAAAGAGGGCTGGGATGGAACTCCCTTGGGTAACATTTATTGCTACTTACTTATTCCCTAGATCCGTGGTCACCAACCAGTCGATCGCGATCGACTGGTCCATCACGAGGCCTCGACTAGTCGATCACAAGGCATCCTGTCCGCCCCGCCCCCATTTCCCTCCCACCCCCAAGAAGCCCCACTACCTACCTCCAGTGAATATGGAGGTAGTGTCGGCTTCCTGGGGATGGACAGAAGTCCTGCAGCTTAGCGCCACTTCCAGCAATTCCGGAAGTAGCACTAGCTGCTCTGCCAGGTGTACTGTGGGAGGGAGCATCGGCTCCCCCGCGCGCGCGCAAGGCTTCCCTGCGCGGGGGAGAGGGTCGGCCCCGGGGCAGGCACCTGCAGGGGTCCCTCGGGGGGGGGAGGGGGAGGGAATCCTGGGAGGAGGCAGATGCAGGGGACTCTCTGCCTCCACTGGCACCCCACTCCTTAGCCACAGAACTCTGTCCCCAGCTACAGAATTCTGTCTCCACTCATGTCCCCAGCTACAGAACTCTGTCCCCACTCCGCTCCCCACTCCCCAAACTCTCCCCACTCCCGTCCCCTGCTGCAGAACCCTGTCCTCTGCCCTCCCAGCACTCTGTTCTCTTCCCTCCCCCTTCCCCAGAACTGTCTCCACAAAATGTATAATTACGAACGCTTCATTTTAGATTTAAATAGCATGAATAAAAAACAGACCATTTATTTCATAACTATAAACACGTGATTTTAATTTTATATATCGCATAACTTAAAAATAAACTGTTTATCAGTGTGTGTAAGTAAGGGCTGGAGATAGCAAGTGATGGACAGGAGGAAATAGAGCGGGACTTCAAGGAAGGGGCAGGGCTGTAGATCTTCGCCTGTTCGGAGATTTAAAAAGTGATCTTGGGTGTAAAAAGGTTGGAGACCACTGCCCTAGATTGTATTGTTTAGCCTATTAATCTCTTCTCCACTAACAAGTGAGCAGCAGGCTCTACTGTATTCCAGACTTTGTAATTTACGTGCACATTCTTTCAACAGTAACAACTGAAGTTCCACAAGCTTTACCCACCAATCTGGTTTCTTGACACCTGCAAAGTGCTGCATAGTAACTGACACAAAGAATGAGATAGCCAAATTATATATTGCACAAAATGTAGACTTCAAAAATAAGCTTTTAAAAGCTTATTGCCAACAGAAGTCTCGAGTTTAAAATTTGCAATAATTTTAAAATAATCCACTATGATGTATATATTCCAAACTTAAGAGCTTTATTTTCACCTGATAATCAGTATCACATATCAGGTTATTTCCATCATTCAAGTGCAAAAAGCAATAGAGAATAGACTAAATGTTTAAGAATCTATATGATTTCAGGTATCATTTAAAAAAAATCCTTATTGAGACAAGATTTCAGGGACAAATATTAACTGAGACATGGATGCAAGTTTCACTGAAGTCCTTAGTAGCTGCTTATGAGTTTCTGCAGAGACTATGAATCCAAGTGTCTGTTATTTTTCTAGAGACATTGTTAGAAACTGCTAGATTTGATTTAAGCTGCTGGAGCAACTCTACAAAATTTCAGAGAAATTCCTCTCTCAACAGGGAAACCAACACAGTGTTTCAATGACACAAAAGCGTAACGTGTAGTTATAAGACCCTGTAAATTGGGAATCAATTATGACACTTTCAATAGTTTAAGTACAATGTAGCATATTAAAGCAACCACTCTAATTTCTCTCTGAGCTTTATAGTTACATCATGGTGTGTCATGGGAATAACCCAATTCTTTACACAAAAACAATAGCAAAGCGCCAGTGGACTTCAAGTGTCACTTTTTGGAGCCACCTCCTCCCCTGCAACTCTGCTTAGGATAGGGCTTGGGTTTACTTCAGAATATATCTATTTTAACATGTTTAAAATGTTTTTTTAAAAATGTTCTAAATGAACAATAGCTAATTAGCCAGTTCTTTACATCATTAGAAACATTCACAGAGAAAAATATCAGTAAACTTCAGTCATTCTGCTCACTAAAGGCTTATAAACAAGAAAAGCTGAGCTTACCTTGTGAGCCTACCACACAGTTCAGAGCATAACCGCTTACAAGAATACTCTCTTTCTGGCTACGGCCATGTGCCTTCAAAACATTAATGGAACTGATTGGATATTTGGCTTGACCCTTTTGATCTGTGAATTTAACTGCAAGCACAGCATCCACCACCATGTTGGCAAAAAAATCACCATCACTAAAATACTGTTAAGGCCAAAATGAAATACACAGCTTTGTTTTAATGCTAAAAGCAACATATATATTTTCTTGAAAATAATCATGGAAGCATTTCTGAGATAAAACAAACAAGATATAGGTAATAACAGGCTTCTACCACTTGTATGTCTTCCTCATTTTTGTGGTATTTGAATGTATTCACGTGGCTTCACTTAAACAGTGGTTTCCCAGTCTGTGTCTCGTGTACCCATTTTACCTGCCCCTGACTTGGGGAGAGGTTGATGATGGTGGCCCAGAGCAAGCCCGCAACAAGGGCCTGAAGCAGAGGAAGAACAGATCAGGGAAGGGTGGTTCCCCCACCTCCTCACCCCAAACATTCATCTATACATACTCCAGGGGGGAGATATATGTCCTACAATTTGGAGAACAGTGCTTCAAACCTTGGACTATTATCTGAAATTGATATCTAACAAGTCTCCAATTAAGGCTATGACTTAAATTGCGCAGGAGAGGCAGTTAGGGCATGAGTGCAGAGTCTGGGCAGCAGTTAGGGGGCTTGGGGTTGGAATATGGGATCTAGGAGGGAGCTACAGTGGTGGAGTAGACTTAGGGCTGGGGAGCAAGGCATTTACCTGGGGCAGTTTCCATTTGGTGGGGCTGGGGCAAATGGAACAAATGTCTCTGTGCTACACCCTGCTCACCTGCAAGCACTCACCCCCTGCAACTACCACTAACAGTGATTCCTGCAGTGACACTGCTCCAGCTGGGAGTAGTGGAGGGACAAGGAATGGCAGCACAGAGCCACCTCCTCGCACGCTCATCCAGGGAGCCCTGAACACAGGAGCTTTACAGGCTGCAGCTCCTAAAGCCCACTTTCCCCTGACTGGGGGGGTGTGGTGGTGGGGGAGGGGGGGAAAAAAGAGATATTTCTCTGGCCCCAGCCATGAAAGATGGGCCACTCCCTCAGTTGTGCCCCTGTGTGGGGCTTATCAGGCAACTACGTGGCCATGCGACTTAAGAGGTAATCTTGGTGATGGGTTATTTAGTGAACAGCAAAAAAAAAGCGAGGAGTTATTGTACAGCTCTTTCAAACTTCTCGGTGTAACAACTGTGGTATTATTTTCTGCCAGAGAAAACAGCTCCAATTTCAGCATTTAAGGAGGTGTCTAATTGTATCACATTCTGCTAAAACAGATATTCTTAACCCTTAAATACAAGCTACATTTTTTTCCTCCTTTGGTAAGTTTAAGACTCATGAACTTGTTGCAATTGTCCTTTAAACAAACAGGGTTTGGTTTAGTCAATGAGAATACAACTTTTATGCAAAGTTGATACCAAGAACAATTTTTCACAGTGTAGTTACAACTCTTAAAATAAGGAGGCATCTTGTAGCACTTTAGAGATGTATTAGGTCATGAGCTTTCTTGGATAAAAACCCACTTCATCAGATGAGTTGGAGTGGAAATTACAGAATCCAGGGTATAATGTAACAGCAAAAGAAGTTAATTGTAGGATTAATGTTAATGGGGCAAATTAAGTCAGGGTGGATGCGTCTCATTTGATGTGGTGATATGAATATCAAAAAAGGGAAAATTGCTTTTATAGTGTATTAGCTAGTTAAGATCTTTATTCAAGTCTAAGTTGACAGTGTTTAACTTGTAAATGAATTCCAGTTCTGCTGTCTCCCTTTGTAATGGAGTGATAAAGTTTGTAGAAGGATAGCTACTTTTAAATCCATTACAGAATGTCCACGGATGTTAAAATGTTCCCCTACTGGTTTATAATGAAAAAGGATACTCAAGTTCTCTAAAACATCCTATTTTTAAAAAAAATTAAGGTTCCAATTTATTACCAAGTCAAAGGATACATTCCTATTATTTTGGAGGACATCGATGTTTTAGCTGCATTAATAAGGCACTCTCGGCCAAGTTCATCTGTGTTAATAATAAGATTTTCATTGATATATCGAACTGCCTCCCTGTCGAATAAAAAACATTTAAAAAACAATTTCTCTCTTTCTTGGGGAAAAAAATCAGAGGTATGAATATTTCTTTCCCTTGCTCTCCCATACATATTAAAATGTTTTAATCTTCTTACATGAAATAACTGAAACAACATAAAGACTAAATGCTGAGCTAGACCCAAGTTGACAAACCACCACGGGTCTTTAAAAATTATGCAACTATTTCCGATGATTATCTTACTTGCAAGCAAGACGGTAGCCACCAATAACAGAGGTAGGATGAATTTTCTGCTTAACCAGTTCATCTGCATTTTTCAGAAGTTCAGCAGCAATAATTACCTATTTGAAAACAGAAACAAGCTAATCTTAATATAAACATTAATTCTTGTGCCAACAAACAAATAAGTGAAGGCTATGAAAAGTTTTCTATATGATTAATGGGCAAAACAATTATAAATTTAGTAACAATTCCTGGGGGTCTCAAATTCTTTTTTTCCCATTTCTCTAGTTAACTATGAACTCATTGGGATTCTACTGATATATCTTGTCTGCAGTCAGTTGATTGAATTCTATTCTATTGGTTAATTTCAAATTCTCTCTCAGAGGCTAAGCACAAAGGACTTTTCCAACACAGAAGCTACTCTCAAATACACTTGAGCCAATTTAATCTGGCAACCCTGGGAAACACAGAATGCCAGATTAAAGATTTTGCTGAGCCAGGGAGAATGCTGCAGCGTCTGAGCACGAGGGGGTGCAGATGGTGCACTTACCTGCCACCCTGTTCCCAGGGGGGCACACAGATCTGTGCTCCCAGACACTGCCCTCTGCTGTTATCAAAGCAGCAGGGAAAAGCGGCTCTGCACATTGCCGTTCCCCCAGCTAGGGGAAAATGGGGAACTTCCTTCTTCATACTAAGGGTGTTCCCAGATTAGGGACATGCTGAGTATAGAGGTTAAAGTGTGTAACTTCAGGAAAGCTCTCAAATTTGTAGCTATTAAAGAATAACCCTTTTCCAGAATGCAGGCATACTTAGCGATGCCACTTTTTGTACAGTGGTCTCCCTTATGACTCCTATTCCTTGAACTTCTTCTACGCAATTTTCATGGTTTGTAATAGGGCAGAGGCATTAAAATAAAATCTGTTGTCACATGATAGAATGGTCCATATTTAATTCCCAGTGCCAGGATTTATAATGCTCTGCCAAAATCTGCATTTGATAATGACTTTCAGCATATCTACCTGTAAAATTTTCTACATACCACTGAAGTGGTCCCATCGCCAACTTCTTTGTCTTGCAGTTCTGCCAGCTCACAAAGAACTTTTGCAGCAGGATGTTCTACCTCTAGCAGCTTCAGAATTGTTGCACCATCATTAGTAATGGTCACATCCTAGTTTCCAGAAAACAACAAAGATTGATATTCTTGCCCATTTATTTTTAAATTTCATGAAAACCTTAACATTAAAATGTCAAGATATTTTAATGACAACGATGGGGAAGTATTATGCCTTGGGTAATATGACGTACATTGACCTCAAGAGTTTCCTTTTAGTATTCAAGACTTGGCTTAAAAAGACAATCAGCGCTACCCTATCCATAGGATGGTTTAGGTTGGTCCCGCCCCCGACTTCCGTGGTGGCCACTGAAAATATTCTCTAGATGGAACTCACAGCATTACCTGAGGCCGTGGGCCTGGCATGGCTGTCCCCCCACTCTCCACAGAGTTGGCAATCTGTTCTGCTCCACCCTTCCTTGGCTCATTGATTGTGGCTTCTCAGTGGCAGTGGGAAGCAGAGCATTTGCTTCCTGCCTTCTCAGAGAAGTGGGGTGCCGTGAGCCGGGAAGGCAATGTGGTGAAATGGGCCGCTGGGCTGCCCTAGCTCTCGCTGCCCACATGGCGAGCAGCGCGGGGAGAGAGTAACCACCATTGTATCAGGCTCCCCATAATTCTCTGGGCCATGTTGCTCAGAGGAAGGAGCCTGGGGGCAGAATAGGGGCAGAGCTTGGGAAGGGGTAGAGCCTGTGTTAGGGTAGGGTTTGTCCCAGGCTCTGCACCAGGAGCATAGGGGAAGCCATGGTGGAGGTGGGTTTGCCCCAGGCTCCATGCCTTCCTCAGGATGGCCCTGACTACAACTATGCACATGATCAATCCTAGCAAACTCCTGTTTGCAGGGCAGGAGCCTTGACATACAAGAATTTGCCTGATTGAGATAGCAGAATTCTTCACATTGTATGAATAAGAACGAAGGAAGTGTTCTAAAATGTACAGTCAACTTCTGATAATCCGGCACCTTTAGGACCCAGGGGGTGCTGGATTATCAAGTATGCTGGACTATTGGAAGGGGGGGGCTATGAGGCATCTGGGGTGGAGTGGGGGAGGAGGCGCCCCTCAGCGCTGTGGGACCAAACCAGCAGCACCCCAGCTGCTTTGCTCCAGGCTTCCCCGAGTCGGCCGCTGGTCAGTTTCAGCAGCGGCTGACTTGGGGACCCCTTGGGCAGAGCAGCTGGGGCTGCAGGGTTGGTCCCACAGTGCTGAGGGGCGGCGCTAGGGGACCAACCCCGCAGCACCCCAGCTGCTCTGCCCCAGGTGTCCCCAAGTCAGCCACTGCTGAAACTGACCAGCAGCTGAATCTGGGAAGCCAGGACAGAGAAGCTTCAATTGTCTGGCTGCCCGGAGCATTTCCGGGTTCCAGATGGTGCTGGACCGGAGTTTTACTGTAGCTTGAATACATTAATCTATTTTTAATTTTACCCTAGTCTAAATGTTTCAAAGCGGTAAGTAGTTCTTTCTTACTAGAAAGATTAGCCAAAGTAATGCATGTACAACAGTATCTAATCCTAAAACATGTACACACATTTACAGACAACAGCATGCATATCAAGAGCAGCAAAATAAATTTTGATTAATTCATTCTGTGTGCTTTTCTAAACAATGTCTAAACCTTCAGTTGAACAGATATAACTTCAGTTGACTAGCTGTAATGTACAGGATAAGTTTGTTAACACAAGCTTTTTCTTAAACATTAAAATAGAAAGGCATGCTTACTTACACCAATATCATCCACCAACATTTTATCCAAACCAACTGGACCAAGAGAACTCTTAACAATATTGGCGATAGAAGCTGCAGCCATAACTGAATCAAACAAAATAAAGAAATAATTCTTTATTCATATATAATTATTTTAAGAGCAGTATATTTGTCTATCAACCCAGATTCTTCATTTCAAGAACATGAAATAAAACAACTCCTTATTTAGGCTCCAATCCAGCAAACAAATGTCCCAGTATCACCAAAAAAGTTGGGGGGAAAAGACAGTGTTTGTGTAAGGGTCCATGCTGACACACAAATGTAGCTATCAGGACCTTGAATATGACAAAATAGCAGTTTCATGACTAACAAGGGAGCCAAAGGATGCTGTTTTAGTTACTGAAATAACTAAAAAACTTTCTAGATCAAAGAAATAAATTATGTAATTCAGGTTGTCCTTCAGAATATTTCATTCTGTGTTCTGCCATTTCATATAGGAAAAAGATATTGTCAATCTTCTCCTTCAGACTTTGGCAGTGTTTTCTCTATCCCATAAGCATAGCCACTCAATCTGTAAAATGAAGGAGTAGTAGTTAAATGGGAAGAGTCCAGTCCAAACCTGATCTTTTCTTTGAAGCTTTAAATATATCAAACTCACATTCCCAGAAATCAATCTTTTAATTTAAAAAAAAATGTACTTGCTGCTTCCCAAATTTGCCCTTAATATCAGGAGCTTCCTTAGCCATAAGGTTAATAGGAGGCAATGAATCCCCACCCTTTTAAAGACACTACAAGAAGACTACTGGAATTGCAGACTTCGTTAAGACATTTACCACTTTTCTACAGCCCATGTTTTTACCCCCACAAAATTCCCTTCAGTATCAGCCTATTTCTGCTTATTGTGCAGATCTCCTGTAATATGTCTGAAACACTGAGACAGTTGAGGGACAACCATTCTGAGAATTTAGGGATGTGAATGGTTAAGCTTAAGGCATAAGCATTACCCTTTCTGGGTGACACTTACTGGTTATTGTTAACCCACCAGAGCTGGGCCAGAGGAAGGGTGCGCCAGGCCATCCACCCCAGTTTAAGCAGTTAACCCGTTAAACATAATATTTCTTCAGTTAACTGATTAAATGGGAACATGCCTGTGAGAACAACAACATGGCCACTGCAGATTCCAGAATCACCAACATGTCAAAAAGCGAATCACAACTAAAGAACTGGTGAAATACCAACTCAATATCCAGATATGCAAATACTTTTGAGAAGACCTAGACTAGACTTCTAGGTCTGAAGCTTCATATGCAGCTATATCATTTGCACACAAAAATAGTCTATTTACCCCATTATTTAATTAACCCATCTTGATTTTATACTAGAATTATGGTAGACATATATTATTATTTCCTTCCTAATTGTCAGACTGGCTGGAATTAAAACATTTCTCACCACTGTTTTGGATTCTCAGATATATTGACACAAGTTATATACTACAGAAGTTGAGAAACTCAGTATTTATGCGCTCAACTTGCATATGCAGCAAGTTAATCTTAGAAGCCATTTGTAATCTATATTCAACAACACGAATATAATTTGCAGGACGCACACAAGATTTGACCCATGTAGACAAATGCTTAAAAGTATCAATATTAAGGTTCACCTACTTGTAGCCTTGAGTGTAACTACAAGGGCCACTTTTCAAAAATTCTACCCCCCGGGGAAGAAAGAGCGGAGGGGGCGGAGGGAGAAGGCAGGAAGGATGGGTAGCTAACATCGTCACAGGCACTTCAGACGTTTCTATGACCGTGCAAAAATTTAATAGCAAACGATTAATTACCGATTTCTCGGCTTCGTCTCCAGCCCAGAGCGAGAGCTGCAGGCAGGGCTGCCGCAGAGCGGCATTGAGGAGCTCGCCCGGGGTAAGTCCCCCATCGCTTTACCCCAAGTCGCTGCGGCTGCGGGCGTGTCAAAAATGGCGGTCGGGGCTGTTCACGTAGCAGCGAGCTCGGGTTTACCGAGCGAGCACCCTGCAGCGAAGTGGGCTGGGAGCAGCAGCGAGAGCGGAGCTCCCCGCGGCGGGCAGCTCCGTGTGAACGCAGATGCCCCCGCGCCCCAACCCCCCCCCGGGCCGGCGCGGAGAAAGCGGCGCGAAATAACGGGCCCGGGGAGGGAGGCCGAGCTCCGAGCGCGCCAAGGTGCGGCCGGGTTGGGCCGCGCCTCGTGCTCCCACCCGGGCTGAGGCACGTAACGGTGGCTTCAAAGCCGAGCCTACCGGGCCGCGCCCAGCGGCCTCCGCTACACGAGCTCCCCCTCTGCCCTACCCGGGCAGCACATGGCGCCGGCCACTGCGTCAGGCGGCCGGGGCCCCGCGCGCGCTGCCGTTACCGTTCTGGCTGCGGATCGCCTCCCCGGAGCTCCGTCCCCCGAACACGGCCAGTGGCCCCGCCTCCATCTTGCCCGCGCGCACCGAGGAGACTGCGGCACACACGCGTTGTAGGCGAACGTGCCGGTACTGCCGCAAGGTTCGCTGGGAAAGTGATCCCCCCCCCCCCTTCGCAACCGCGGTGCATAATGGGGAGGGACAGAGAGAAAAGAACAGTGACGTTGAACACGTCTGTCCAATCCATCAGCCCGTTACAATACGACCCAGAAAGCGCCTAAGTTGAGGACGGTGATTGGACGCTGAGAGGCGCAACCCCCTCTGCTCCTCGAACAGCCTCCTGAGTGACATTGCATGTTGGGTAGAAGGGGTGAGGTTAGGAGCTGGGGTTTTTTTTCTCCTTCTAGGAGGTTCCAGAAGGTATGGGGGCGGGGCGCGTTCCACTTGCGCAGGGGGCGGGCTGGCCTAGGGATT